GGTGACTATTATTTCTTATTTCTGAAATGAAGCAACTGGCTACATATGTACAACGTCTCATAATGTGAAAAAAAAAGAGCGTGGATATTCTATTAATCATAATTCTATACAAAAACGTAGAATCACTCTCGACTTATTTTTACACTCTCTTACATCTATCAAAATGCTGTACACAGATGTCCCCAACATTAACTACCACTATTACTGCAAATGGGTCTATAATCGTAGAAATAAATAAATAAATAAATAAATAAATAAATAAATAAAAGTACTTAATGAAATTAGTAGAGAAATGAGTACAACAAATTGACACGAGAAGAATAGATGTTCAATCACTACAATGGCTTGGAGAAGAATTAATTCGATCAAGAACCGTGCAGAATTCCCTTCCACGATTATTTGCCACTTCCTAACCTAACCTTTAAACTTCGACCAAGGTGTGCAAACAACAATTGTTTATCTTCTAAATACTTCACACTGGAATATGATTGAATTCACGACGAAGGGAAGGTTCCTTGAAATTACTAGCACACGAAGTTCGTCGAGGACCTATGCAAATCCCGATGAACTAAGACACCTGACGAACAGCCACTCGATAACTCTAGAAGATCGATCAGGAAGCCAGGGAGAGATCGGTCGTGGGACATGAGGAGGAAATGGACTTCAGCTCTTAATCGAGTTTGTTTCTGAAATATAGCTGGTCTACATCAAGGTCTTCTATTGTGCAACCAGTGGTTAGAGTTGACTGGAACAGAACTAGTAGGAAAAAATTGAAGATTAACCCTTTGAAACATGAGCAATTTTTTTTTACTTTCTCTTAAGAATATATATTTCAAAAATTAGAGAATGTATATCTGTACCATTCTACCGAGTTTAGATACTTGATAATTGTTATATATAGGTTAATTTAAAATTTTAAATGTTAAAAGTATAAAAGAGCACCAGTGTTCATTCAGGCACTTAAATATTTTTTGAGGTTGGAAATGTTGTAAAGAAACTCCAACAATAAGGGATAGTACAAAGAAATTCTCTATAATAGAAGTACAATTTCTTTACAGACAGAAAATCCACATTCCGGAAGATCACCGCTTATGGCGTTAACTCTCCATCCGGCGGCCACCATGGAACCTTGTACTTTAATCTATCAATCTCCTTGCAATTATTTATCGTTAAATTCTACTTTTTCCCATAACCTTGTAACAAGTGAATTTCTTTTTTATTGCAAAAGAAAAAAAGACGGTAGCCAAAGTCCTCTTTTTCTTATCAACCAGCACTTGTTCATTTTTAATATGAATTTCGTTGCGGAAAAACTTTGTAACTAGTTAATCCAAGATCTAATTAATCCCTCCGCTACAGTTTAATGGTTGAGCGTTCACAAAGAAGCCGCACTTTATAAAAGATCGTCCCAATGTAATGTTTAACGAGGCATTAAGCCGGAACCGTCTGACTTAGAAGTTTTAATCGTTGTAATGTAAAAGTTCCGTGCTGAAACACGCCTCTGGCGAAATTGAATTTCGAATTTCCAATCCGGGTGAATCCCATTATAAAACAGTACAAGCTGATACGGAAGTTATAGTTTGCACGCACTCGTGACAGAGGAAGTGACGTGATTTATATTCGATGTCTCGTGGAATTCCTCGACAATCGTGAAATATTCGTTCGTGTGAGAACGTTGAACGGGATGTGTTCGAAAAGAGGGCAGCAAGCAATTATATTGGATCACATTCCAGCTGACAACACGAGGAAAAAGAACACCGGAGTTGAATCTTCAGGAGGAATCTGCATAATGGAAGAATCATGGATCTCGTAAATCTGCAGTTTGTCTGGAATGTCTCTACAATATTTTCTCTTTGAAACAAGCGAATCAAATATTCACTGTGAAATATTAAACAGAAAGAAAGTAAAAGTTTTATTTGTATATTTTAATATTTAGCCTTTTAATATCTCTTTATTTATATTTAGAAAGTTTTTGACCAGTAGGAAAATGTTATTCTCAGTAAGTGCATTATGAAACTATTTTTTAAATAGGTAAAATTGTTCTATTTTAATTAAACGTGAATTTGAAAATTATAACGTTCTATTGTCTCACCTAGTGTATTTTAATATTTAATCTTTCCTTATGTTGGAATGAAGAAATTTTGAGATGAAAGATGTTCATCCAGATACTTATGTCTGAGGTAATTCAACAAGCTGTATGTCGAGCAAAAGTGTACTAAAAAGTAACGCTGAATTATCCAGAGGGAATGCAGACACAAGCGAGATATATTAGAATTTCTTTCGACCTAGCGTTGTACACGTTTCTCTTCTACGAAGAGCAAAACACACGGTGTGAACTGTCCCCTGAGACAGGACGTTTCCTCCACTGAAATTAATGTTTGCGTACGGGACAAATTCATTCTTTGTCTCTTACGTAAAATTTGTTGCTCGCGTGCAACTACGCCAGGTACAATTAGCTGTACAATAGTTTCCAGGTGGAATCTTATAATTTCCTTTGCAAGAATTAGCAGCGTGACAGAAACCACAAAATTTACTAAACAGAAACATACATAATAGATTAAAAAAAATTCACAAATGACTAACTATAAAGCCTTGAGCAAAAAACCCGATCAAACTGTAAAAAAGTTGATTGTTAATTAGTTGCCTGTAGGCTTGATTAAGATGCTTAAAAGAACACAATTTAAAAGATTGATTAAGAAGCTTTAGTTGGACATGTGGACATGAGACGCTTACTCATGCAACAAGTAAGAAGCTTCGAATATAATCAAGGCTCTCCTTTCAAACTTTCTGCCATGATTTTCAATTCGAACGTACACGTCTTTCTAAATCCACATTGTACCACTAGAACTCTTTATACAGATAATTTATAACATTAATTCTCAAAATTTACTGTCCCAATTCACGTTTGTTCGCGTGAATCATGAGAGAAAGTTTGACAGGAGAGTTTCGATTGGCATCGAGATTTAATACTTGTTGCATGAGCTGGACAATTTGCCATATTCAGGTTTACTCTTGCAATTCACACGAACGATAATAAGTCTCGAGGTCAATCGAAGCTCTCCTTCCTAACTTTCTTTCACGATTTTCAATTCGAACGTATCTTTCTTTTACATCCTTAACGTACCACTAGAATGTACCCCTTTGTCTGAACAATTTCCAACATTCAGTCTCGAACTGTACTCTATACAATACAATTCACAGAAACAAGCGTGTAACAGTTGCAAGTGACCTGCGTGCGAGTGTATCGCTAACCTGTTGCCCGTTCCCGAAACTTCAGAGGTTCCAACTGGTTGCTAAAGCGGTGTAGATGATCCTCAAGGATGGTGGATTCACTGGACACACGATGACGTGCCGCGAACACGAGGAATGAAATAAAGATCCAAGAGTAAGATCTAAGGGTACGATGGTAGTGGCGAGATTCGCGAAGGATCAGCCCTTAAATACGGGGGGTTCCCACGGCCATGCGCGTTCTGTTCACCAGGGCGGCAGCGCGAAATCGCCGCCACGCATAACACACCCTCATATCCAACGGTTGATGTATATTTTCAATTTTCCTCGTCGACACATCGAATAAAAATTTCATGAAAACGTCCCGTGTTACGCAACAACGGGGCCTTCTTGGATCCCTACGACGTTTTCTTGCTTGAACGCGTTGCCTGTAAACGAGGTTTTAACGGTGAGATAGTCGCTTGAAACGACAGAAGTTTGCTGCATAGACTAGAAAGACTTGTTAATCCTTGATCAGTTCTAGACGCATTTTTTATTATGGTTCTTATGGTGCTTCTTTTCAGAATACTTATTCACAGTGTGCTGAGGATACGTGGTGAGAATATTGTTTTTTTAAGAGGACTTGGAGAGGTACATATTTTAGGTAAAAAGAATCACTATTTGAGAAAATATATACAGATCCCCAGAATTGATCAATTAGAAATGTAGATTTTGTAATAGCTTCTTAAATTGTGTGTATTTGTTTTTCTTATTGTTATCTTTTATTGGATATATATTGTACTGTTGATTAACCTGGTTAAGGGTGTAGTTCATTGGTAAGGTGATAAATTTAACGAGGTGATAAAATTTATGGGAGTCACGGAGCAATAAAAGGTTAAGTGGAATTAATAGAAGTTTATGGAAGTTCCAGGAATTTTAATATCTTTGTTTTCTGAGTATCTAATAAAGGGTGCTATTCTTCTCATATTTAGTTTCTACATGCAAATTCTTGTCTAAGAAACTCTGTCGCGCTTCTCCTTTCAAGTTTCTCCCACAAGTGTCCTGTAAAACAGGCCTCGAGTTGGTAAATTAATCCGTTCGAGCTGGAAAATAGGAAATTCATGGTGCCTCTATAGAGTCTATAGAGAAAAATCGATCAGAAAAATTCCTCCATAATTTTCTAGCATGTTTCGTGAAGCATAAATCAAAGAACATGAGTCAGCGGAGTAAAAAAAGAGATAAGATGAAGTCCATCAGTTTTTGCATATGAAAATTTGCAAAGAAATTAGAATTTAATGAGAACAATCTTGCACGAGGTGACAAACTGTACATAGAAGAATCCTCACAAGAAATATAAAAATGATCAATTTTACAAAATAGATCAGAGAAAAATGCACCAAGAAGTAATATTTTTAACGATTTTTAACAATTTAAAAATTTAAAAACCTTTAATTTTTAAACTTTCTAACCGGAACTAATGAATTTATATTGAATAGACGTTAACTCATCAAGCATGGTCTCTTTCCAAATTAAATACGGCGACCTCCGGGATCAAGATACGTTGAGGAAGTACATAAATCACGTGACGATTTCTTTTTGTATATCAGCTAACTGGATTAAAGCGATAACGACGATCAGTATCATTTTGTGTATCGATCGTATCGTAACCGTTGATTAGCTCTTCTTCTCTTGCAGTGGCGAAAATTTTACAGGGGTGTTATTTGTTATTCGAGTTTCGTTCGCCAACTAGCGCCGTGAGGCTTTACGGAGAGTTCAAGATTAATCGTGATGGATTACGTTTGTAATAACAGCTCGAAAGTTTGAGCGGAGATGCCTTAAAACGATCTTGTTTCAACTGCAAGGGATTACGTATAGTAAGTACGTCCAGGTTCCTCGTTATCAATCCAATTCTCTATCTTTAAATCGATCAGATCGATTAATGAACATTTTCTCGATGTTAAATTTGGAGATTTCACGATAAGAGAAGATTAAACAAGACGATCGTGTAAGAATATAGCAAACATCTCTCCCTTCTTGTCGATGCTTCTCGCGACAACCCTTGTTGTTTGTAAGACAGAGAAAAGGCGTTCATTCTGTAAAAAGGAGAATTTATTTAACGCATTATCGTTACATGATTGTTATTCGATATTTCGTTTGAATTTCGTCGTAAATTTGAATTGTATTTACGAGGGTCTAAGTATGAAGGGCTAATTTGTTAGGTTCTTGTAAGTTTTACTGTATAATATGTAATCATTTGTGCAATATCTCTTTCATTTTTTTTTTCTCTTTTACAGTTAGCGAAGTAGAAGTATCTGCACTGACAGAGAAGAAATGGACAAAAGTGAGAAATGATCCAATATCTGGTAACAAGGGATCTCACTGCAAGGGTTTTTAATGATCTTTGCAAGGACCTCAAATGATCTTTGCAGTGAGGCAATCACCAAATATTGGGTCGTTTACCACTTTTTTCCATCTTTTCTCTATCACTGCAAACACCCACACTTTAGCTATGAAAGAGATAGAAAAATGACAAAGGCATGAAATATCGTACTATTAACAATATTATTAATACAATATATTACTTTGGTACTTTGACCGTAAATAAACTTAACATCGACGTTCAACTACTCATCGATAATCTAATTACATTGATTTCCGCGATACACTATCTATAATTCCTCAAAATTGACTAAAATCTATTCTTCGTTGTTTACGTTTACACAATTATCGGTTAATTTTAATTTCTAAATAATCGAATGGAAATCGCTTAAGATATTCACATACAAGTAACGTCGACGGTCAAACGACTCACAAAATACGAACTTTGTTCCATTGAATAAAGAACGTGTTCTCAGTTTTGACAATAGGTGAAAAATTTTATCAGGCTATCATTTAAACGTTGATATTTTTTTAAAGCACAGCCCGCTATCTTTTGTATTACGTGTGCTTACATTCTTAATATCTGTATTTTTGTCAGTTTCACATAATGCAACGTGTATTTGCACTTATGCACATGTAATATGTATGAAATACGTAAACTGTGCACTATATAATACATACATTTATGTGTGATCTGTCGTGAGAATTGTGAAGTCGGTAGCTAATGTGTTTAAAGATATAACTTGAACGTATACTTTGTAACTTTCTTTACAGCTTACCTTCATCTATATCAAAGATTCCTAGCATCGTGAATGGACACTCCTTAGCAAATATAAAAAAAGCGTTATTCGTACCAGAGTCTGAATACAGATTATACGATGTCTCAGGTCAACATGAGTTTCCAACCGTTAATCGTTGCCTCGAAGGACTTACAGAATAACGATGGATCAGGTAAGCGTTTTCTTTTTCAAATATCGTCAAGAGAAATGAAATTCTCTGGAAGTGCACTTATTTTAGAGTCGCGTTTTCTACTTAAGAAAAAAGTACAATTTTTACCTCTGTTAAGAGTGTTCTCTACAACAAGAAGGAAGATTTATCTAGTTTTTAACGTCATAAAATCGTCGTCGTGAAAGAAAACTAATTTTCACTGTAGTTCCCTCTCTCTCGTGTTTTTTCTAAAAATGGACGCGATTATTTGAGACGCGTTTTATCGGTAATTAAATTTCCAGATGTTGGAACATTTTCGCTTACAGCTGCGATTAACGTTCTTCTGTTCCGTGAACATCGAAATTTCATTGTTAAGGAGGTCCACGGATAATACCCATTAGCTTCATCGAATTATCCGACGCAGCTGCTATTTTCCAGATGCGTTCATAGCTACTAAACGTTGATGTATAATTAAATACACGGAGAGGGACGGCGACAGTATATTTACGACGAAGGACATTGTAAACAGAATTACAATACGCGATACGCGATATGCGAGTGAGCGATGGCTTTTTTTCTTTTTAAGGAGACGGAGATGAATTTCGTAAACGACACCGGTCTGATTAAATGCGACAGAATGAGAAATTTGAATGTCTAAATTTGGGATATTTGCGTTCCAAATTTTCAAACTTTTAATTTTTTAATTTACGAATCTTCATACTCGAAATGCATTCAATTTCGTGCGCGCAGTAGAGTAAGCAAAGAGCGCTCTAGGCTTCGGTGTCTAACAAAGTTCGGCGCTTACTACTTATCCACGCTGATAACACTGGAACATTAGAAAATATTGGATGATTGCAAAAGTTCATGCCCGATTTGAAAATAAAACACAATCGGTGTGTGCAAAAGCAGATTTCGTTTGAAACTGAAATGGAAGGAAATGAATAATTATTTGAAAATAAAACACAAACGGTGTGTATCTTTCGATAGGAACGTAACGTTACGCTAAAAGAGACATCTGTGCTGAGTCGATAAGGTTCTCGCCACCTTTGAAAATCGGGCACGAACATTTGCAATCATCCAATACTTGCCGACTAATCGTTTTCTGTTAAATCTGCTAAGGCTGTGGTTATAGTGGATGCGTATTCGGACGAACTCAATATGTTAAAACAATCAAATATATATGTATACAGATTCTTATGAGTGTATGCATTGCAGTCTTCAGATATTTCATTCGTCAGACTGTCAACTCGTCCGAATACGCATCCACTATACCACAGTCTCAAGTGGTAAAACAGTGACGAATGTACAAAAAGAAGTATATGTACTTATTTTCGAGCGACGACTGCTAAGTTTAATCTATTCAAATTAAAAAATTACAACATGAACATTAATCCAATCCTTCGTCAATACTTTACACATCCATGTAAGTCACAAAGTATATATGAAACTAGCGGAAAAGAAATAGGAAGAGAAAGAGAAAAAGGAGAACAAAAAAGAAAGAGCGAGAGAGAGGGAAGATAGAAGGAAAAAGGAGAAAGGAAGAGATACACAAAGTAGACGGAATCGCGCAATGAGCAGAACGAAAGTAAAATTTTCGATCACCTCGGTTGGTATCAGTGACAAGGTATTACGGTTGTTTTTACGCAATACTCGTAATTCACCATACACACGGAAACACAAACACGTGAGCGACATGTTAAAGGGGCGCGGGCAGCATAGGAAATTACTATGAACTCGGTACCGACGACTCTCGATGAATTATTCATCGGTGGAAGGTAAAAAAATATCAGTAAGACAGCGTTCCCAACGCGGGACCTTTAAATATTCATGAAACACAACCACACGACGCAGATTACAGAAGTCAATGTTACCTTAACGCGCTACGATCTGATCTTTACGCGGTCAAGTTTCCACGGAAGATCGCCCTTCTATTGTTGCATTTATATATGTATATCCGTTAGAACAGGATTTCCGTATCATATCATTTCAATTTTCTTTATTACGTCAGCTATTATAATTGTTTCAAGTGATAATGATATTGATAATGAATTGATAACCTTTACTTCATTAATAATTTAATTTCTAATGTTAAGACGTCCATTGTCCACTGAACTTCATATATGCATTTTTTTCTTTTTTTATAGATACAGAAAATAGTCTGTTTGAAATGTTATGAAAATAATTAAATTAACAGTGTTATTTATTATTAATCCTTGTCCAAGTACTTGTTGGACAATGAACGTGTTAAAAAGCACAAGTAACTTATTAGTATGTTCGAATATTTTTCTCGCAGATTACATTGTTAATCGCCATCACATTCCTTGCCCGAAGTACGACGAAGCTTACAGAGAATCTTTAGAGAATCCAGAAAAATTTTGGGGAGAAGTTGCGAAATGCGTGCACTGGAGTAAACCTTGGGAAAAAGTGTTGGATGACACTAATCAGCCATTTACAAAATGGTAACCATTTTCAAAGAAAAGAACTTCATTTTTCTTATTTTCTTTTTTCTATTTCATAGGTTCGTCGGTGGAGAATTAAATGCCTGTTACAATGCAGTGGATCGACACGTTCTCGCTGGAAATGGGAATAAAACAGCATTGATCCACGACAGTCCTCATTTGTCAACGATTCGACGAGTGACTTACAATGAACTTTTAGAAAAGACGTCTTTATTAGCTGGCGCAATGGCTGACATGGGTGTTCGAAAGGGCGACGTAGTAATTATCTATATGCCGCTAATTCCTGAGACGATAATGGCTATTTTAGCGAGCACGCGGCTAGGCGCGATTCACTCGGTTGTATTTGGCGGTAAATATATATATTTGCATGAATAAAAAGATCAAAGTTTCTCAGAAGCGGAATACATTGACCTGTATTACTTCCGTTCCTGGAACTACATCCTACCGGATGTACTAAACATTCCAATTAACATTTTATTATTATTATTATTTATTACATGTGTTGTACATTATTATTACTTTTACTTATTATATATTTTGTATCTTCTTATTGTTATAGATAATTTTGTTATTAGCACAACTTTTGTTTTGTTTAAGTTATCTAATTTACTTCTTGAATTAATTGTAGAATTGAATTTTTCTTTTTAATGTATTGGTTTCTCTTTCTCTTAAACAGTGTTTCCTATTATTTAAAATTATTATAATTCGTGTTTTCTAAATAATTAAAAAAATAAACATTTTCTTAATATCATGAACGTTAAAAAGAAGACATAAACAAATATCAAAGAAATAAACTTTATTTCATTATTTCAGGGTTCGCCGCGAACGAACTGGCCGTCAGAATTAATAACGCAAAGCCAAAGGTTGTGATCGCGGCCAGCTGCGGTATGGAACCCTCTAAATTAATTAAGTATGATTTTTCATTTTGTTTAAGATTGTAGTACACATATTTGCAATTATGTATTGTACTATTCCAATTACAGGTACACTACTATGTTGAACAACGCGATGAACATCATCTCCGTAAAGAAACCAAAGTGCATCATATTTCAGAGGAGAAACATCTGGCAGAGTCCACTCTTAGAGGACCAGTTCGACTGGGACGACGTGATTAAAAGGTCGAAACCTCATCCCTGTGAACCGGTTGAAGCGAACGAACCTCTGTACATTCTGTACACCTCAGGCACAACAGGTAGCCTCATTCTGTCGTGTAATTAAACGAAAAATGCCGTTGAAAATAATCAATTACAATTAACACTCTATTTATAAGATTTATATTTTTATAGATTCTGATCTGAAATATACAGGGTGTCAGAGGAATTAATATAATTTGAAAATATGCACCTAGTATGTAATGATAATAAATCTCCCCCAAAGTCATCTTGAATGAAAGTCATTCCAAGGTGATCAACATTTTTGTTAAGGTCACAGATGTTAATATGCAAAAAAATATTGATGACCTTGAAATGACCTTCAGAGGATTCTGTTTTATCATCACCAGATATAAGTCTTGAAACCATATAAACTCCTTTTAGACATTTTTTTCTTATTTTCAATATCAGTTTATTGTAAGTGAGACATCCTGTACATCTACAAATTATTTCTCCATATACACATTTCAAGCGGTTGCTCCAAGTAGTTTCTCAATTATTGTTTCCTCGACAACTCATTAACCTTCCAATATCCAACTGGTCGTGGAACTGCATGCAAGATCCGCATAAAAGTTTACATTATTGGCAAAAGTCATTAAGCGGCTAAATAAGCGGTCTTGATGCACTTCCGATTGCACAAGCGTGTAAAAGTTCGTAAAATTGTAACATAAGTTCTACTGACAGAGAAATTTGTTTGTTTTTTTTTTTGTTGTTTCTTATTAAAGGTCAACCGAAAGGAATTCTAAGATCAGTGGGTGGACATTTGGTAGCTGTTTGCTGGACTATGAAGACAGTTTATGATATGGACAAGGATTCTATTTGGTGGGTGGCATCTGATATGGGATGGGTTGTGGGTCATTCTTACATTTGCTATGGACCTCTCGTTTATGGTGCTACCAGCGTGATGTATGAGGGGAAACCAGATAGGACACCAGACGCAGCGCAATACTTCAGGTTTAAACAATTAACTACTTTGCTGCTGATGAATCTATCGTTGATCGAAATTATTTTTGCACAGTAAACGAGCGATGTGCATCCAGTTAATTTTCGTTATAAAAAAAAAACGAATAAAATTCTTACAAATATTTGCACGTTAAAAGATAGTATTTTTGACGGTAAAACAGTTCTACTGTGAAAGGGTTAATAAATGAACTAATAGATATGAACGTTCAAACCGTGGATCGTTCTTCTCAATATTCTTCTGAACAATCTAGTTTACTCATTAATTTCTGTTCTATGAAATTGCCGTCAAGAATGTAACATGTAGAATTAAGTGAAACTGTTGCGTTTTTTATAGGGTAATCGATCAGCACAGTGTGAACGCGTTGTTCTGCGCGCCAACCGCGCTTCGCGTTATAAGACGCGCTGATCCAGAACTCTTATACGGTGGAAAATATTCTATGAAATCGTAAGGCATTTATTAAAAAATTAACGATGTATTCTTCTTAATCTATACGATTACTTTCGTAGTTTAAAAACCGTATTTGTGGCTGGAGAGTTTTGTGACAATGAGACAAAAATCTGGGCGGAGAAAGCGTTCAAGGTACCAGTTTTGAATAACTGGTGGCAATCAGAGACTGGATATCCCATTACAGCGTTATGTCTAGGTTATGGGCATAATCCTAGATTGCCAAAGTACAGCACTGGCTTTTCAATTCCTGGCTACAACAGTAAGACTAATATTTTATTATAAGAATGTATCTTAGTGTATAATTGGTGAAAGAAACATAGAAAAACGTAAAATGACACAGAGTGTCACTGCATCAATAGGTGCCTGTACTTAATTCTTTAATTTCCTTCTATCGACTATACTTTGACATCTGACCGATTTTACGACCTCACTACATATATCCGTTTCACTACCTATACAAATTCTCTATATGTAACATTTGGAATCATCATGTATAAAAACATTGTTTATGAAAAAATAATTCTTTCCATTCAGTTGACATTTTGCGAGACGACGGTAGTAAAGCAGAAGCCCATGAGTTAGGCAGAATCGCCATAAAGTTACCTTTACCGCCTGGTTGCATGTCTACTTTGTATCAAGCTGACGAGAGGTTCAAGGAAGTGTACTTTTCCACGTATTCAGTGAGTCGTGCCTCTGAAATAAGGAAACGATATCTTTGTTTCAATATTAAACAATCAATTTTATTATTGGATATTAATTATTCATTTCATAAAAAAATAGGGCTACTACGATACTATGGACGTGGGGTACAAGGACGACTTCGGGTACGTTTACGTGATGGCACGCGATGATGACGTGATAAACGTCGCAGGTCATAGATTGTCCACCTCTGCGTTGGAAGACGTTGTCATGACTCATCCAGACGTTGTAGACGTCGCCGTGGTTGGTGTACCCGATCCGATTAAAGGCGAAGTACCGTTATGTCTTTACATAATGAAGCAAGGTGAACTTTCAATTCAAACACTTATTACAAAATTATAATTATTATTACTGTTACTACGAGAAATTTTAAGAGATGGTACATTACACTTGTCTTCTTACATGCTCACAGAAACGATGAAAAACGAGGAACAGATTAACGAGGAGCTAGTGGCGCGGGTGAGAAGTTTAATTGGTCCTATAGCATACTTCAGGATAGCCGCTGCTGTGAGAGCGTTACCTCGAACCCGTTCCGGGAAAATAGTCCGTAAATCTATCGCCAATTTGGCATGTTCAAAGCTAGTAAAGGTAATAAA